ATCTACTTTACTGATAGCTTTATAAATTACCAAAGCCAAGAGACTTAATGACCTAAGGAGCAATTTAACATTTTCAACATCTTAATAATTTATAAATGTATAATGTATTTTAAATCTTAAACTAATTTAAAATTTATATTTCATTTATTTTATAATCTATTTTGTTTATATATTTTGTTTAATTTAGTTAATTAAATTCGATTTATAAATTTTCCTTATGTTTTTCCTGTAGTATGTTATGCCATAGTACTTGCATTGGAGGTTGCAGACCTGTGGTATCTGTATGTACCTTTTTGGAGTTCTCAAGTTTGAATATCTGTTATCATTGAAACAGCATAAGGATTGTGGGCAAAAAGATAAGCTTGAAATCAGAGTCTGTGGTCTTCCATCTATGTGACCTTTGGAAAGCTATTTAATTTTACCAAAACTCATTTATCTTATAAAAAGTTTTTAAATTGATGTATAATAATGTGTATATTTATGGGGTACAATTTGATGTCTTGGTCTAGGTACACACTGTAGAAAGATTCAGTCGATATCACAAAAATGATCAAATCTTTCTACAGTGTATATATAGACCTCACTAATATCATTTTTGTGATTAAAATGTTAAAAACATATTCTTTTTAATGCCTGTTTTTGGGGGGTGTTCTGAATATTAAATTATGTAATGTCAGTACAGGGCTTACTCAGGGTTTTGAATGTAGTATGCAGGCAGTAAAAGTAATTTCAAGTATATATAGTTTAATCATAAGAGACAAGTCATTATTTTAGCTATGTTAGGCACCCAGAGAATATTTGTGGATAATGAATAAATATTATTGAAACATGAAGAATGTGTCTACTTTTCACATTCAAGCAAGATATACAGATAAAATTTTCCTATGCTCAAAATAAAGGGTAGTGGTGGGGAGAGAATCTGTGAATTTCTGCCCGCCATAGTATAGGCATATTGCAGACCAAAGGAAGCTATGTCTGAGGAAGGAAACCTTCCTAAATAGAAAAAGAAGAAAAAAAAAGATGAAAGATTTTTCTTTTAACAAAGAACTGCTAGTACTTAACTTGTCAGGACAGGATTTTGAAAAACAGCATTCCCAAGTATACCTTTGTAAAAAGCCCTAAAAAGAAGCAATGCAAACCTGCTTCCTACTAGCCTTTTATTATGTCTCATTGATAATGGCTTGCAAGAGCCTCATTTTATAAAACTCAATACACTACTGTGAACATGAAAAGCAAACCCGCTTTTATAAAGCTGATGTTCCATTGGGTAAGTGAGGGCTCAATGATAGCTGGGCCAATTATAGATTCCGGCAGTGTCTGCATGGTACCCAAACAACGGAAGAAAACACAAAAAATTCACTCCAAACACAATTTTTTTTTTTAAAGGAAAGAATAAACTCTTGCTTATGTTGAATGCAATCATAAAGCATACATAGCTGAAACACTTATTCCCATATATATGCCACTTTAATGAGAAAGAGAAACATGTGTGTTTGGAATTCTAAAATCCTTGAAGATAATCTGGCAAGATTCTTAAGTAACTTGTAAATCATCAAAAGATGTTTACATAGTCTGAAAATCGATGGTTCATTAACTTATTCTTCAAATAATTCATCAAATATTTAATTTCCAGGTATTGCTCAATTTGCTGGTGTTACAGAACCGAATAGAACAAAATCCTTCTCTCATGGGGTTTATGTTTTAGTCAGAGTAATTGAAAACTAGTTTTTAGGTATATTGAAAACAGCACTAAATTGGGTAATAGAAGATCATTATAATCCTAGTCCTTGTCACATAGTAGGTCATTGTTAAAATTTGTTTACAGAATTAGTTTGGCCACTCCCTGGCTCTGTGATCTTCAGCAAATCAGTTCACATTAACTTAGAGCTGGAGTAAGTCTATAAAGAAATGTTCAGTTTTAAAATCCCATAATAATGTAGATATGATGACTTTGTTTTCTAGAATCTTTAATTTTGCTCTAGAAATACCCATTAAACAAATCATGCATGGCAGCTGTAAGTTTCATAGGAAGTACACAGATAAAGAAGCCATGATGTTTATTTTAAAAGACATTTGTAAGATTAATCTACAGAAGTTGTTAGGATGACTAGAGGAAAGTGAAGGGTGGAGGGAGAACGGGAAAGCCTTAGAATGCAACAAAATATTCTCTTTCCCCAAGTAAACTGTGTGTGCATGTGTGTGTATGTGTGTTTTAAATATATATATATAATTTATTACGTCGCAAAGTCAACTAATAAAAATTATACAATATTGTAATCATTCTTGCATTATAAACAGAAAGGTATGTGGTAAAACTTTATTTTGAAGGCAGACAGAGATTTCTTCTCAACATTCTGTGCTTATTTAGGTAAGCTGCTTATTTTCTTTTAGCATCAACTTCTCCATCTTCAAAAGAGTAGTAATGATGATTTCCTCGTAGGTTTGTTTTATGGATTCAGTGGGATAATAGAAGCCAAGTCCTTGCATAGGTTCTAACACATAATCAGTGCTTCATCATCAGTCTGGAATATTAGGACCTTTGCCTTTCCATGGAAATCTTTATCAAAAAGCTTAAATTAATGTAATGTAAACATTGATTCTTTTCATAGAATCCTCTTTCCAAGTAGTAAAAGTCACATTTTTTGTGCATCTCCAAAAAACTTTCTACAACTTGATTGTCATTAACAACTTTCCTACTTGATTTCATTTAGGACTTCATTGATTATGAGATGCAGCTGTTCATAAGGGATACCCCATATAGTTATTGGTCAGAAACCGAGCCACTGGTATGATCCTGGGATGTACAGGCCCCCTACCAGGGCCTAGAAGCATGCCGGGATATTTTTTCCCCCTAAAAGACATGTAATTACTTGCTTTAGATGGCATGATCCTGATCTAGAAAGTTAAGGGTCTTCATTGTAATTTTTTCACTTTGGGGCTTGTCATAAACACGATACAGTATTTTTTTTTTTTTTTTTTTTTTTAACCATAATACTTCCTAATGTTCTCCTGGCTAAAAAATCCCAAGGAGCAGAGCTGTTTACACTGCGTCTTGGGCCTTCTACACTTTCCTTCTGTGCTCTAGTCCCCACTCAAAGATGCTAGTCTTTTGTGGCCCCTGGTGTATGGCATATGGCTAGGAGTAGAACTCACAAATAAAAAATATATAGTGTCCAGAACTCAGAGAGGCCGACCAGGTGTTGCACTTCGTTCTTTGTGGAGTAAGGTATAAGATGTAATAATTTATTCTTTACTTGGGCAGACAAATCCCTGGATGCTCCTGAACCACTGGATCCCTAAAATATAACTCATATATAGCAACTCCTGAAACTTTGTAGAAGTTATCTTCTTCCTCTAGAGCACACTGAACTTGCCCAGACCTCCAACTTGATAGACACTTATCGTTCATGTCTTTTATATGTAATTGTTGCAGTGGAGCAAGACTCCAAAAGATGAGACTGTTTTCAACTAATTTATGTCTCAGAACAAAGCTTCAGAATATATGTAGGAATGTAAAAAATACCTAGCACCAATAAGGTAAAATCCACAATGTTTTGACATCCAATGAAAAATTACCAGACATGCAAAACCCAGGAAATTTCTACCCATGATTGTTGTAGATGAGAACATAATTAGTAGATGAGGACATTAAAACAGTTTTTATAACTGTATTCTAAATGTTCAAGAAACTAGAGGAAAGATTGACCATGTTAGTAGACATGGATGATACTAAAATGCAAATAAAATGTTTAAAAATGAGAACTACAGTGTCTGAAATAAACTGGATGGGAGTAGTGGCAAATTGTGAAAGAAAATATATTAGTGAAATCAAAGATGCAGCAATATGCAACTATGCAAAATGAAACACAGAAAAAATACTAAAGAAGAGTACATCATTGAGCTGTGGGGATATTTTAAGAAGTTTTATATATTTTCTGTCTACCACTAGTTATGGGTAAAATTGTCCCATTTTGCATGTGTGGTAATTTTTAATCGGATGTCAAGCTTTGTGACTTTTACCTTTTTTGGTGTTGGATTTGTGTGTGTGTGTGTGCGTGCGCGCTTGTGTGTGTATGTAGATAGATAGATAGATAGATAGATAGATAGATAGATAAGATAGGTAGATAATAGATAGATTATAGATATATATTTGAAATTCCAAAAAGTGAGGCGGGACAAAAAATATTTGAAGAAATAGTAACCACCATTTTTTTTTTTTGCCACCATTTTTTAAATACATAATTTGACGGACATTCTAAAGCCATAGTAGCAAGAAGATAAAGAAACCAACGACCAGAAATATGAAGAATACTAAGCTGAGTGCAGTGGCTCACACCCGCAATCCCAGCACTTTGGGAGGCCAAAACAGGAGGATCACTTGAGCCCAGGAGTCAAGACCAGCCTGGGCAACATAGCAGTAGCCTGTCTCTACAAAAATTAAAAAACTAAAAATTAGCCAGCTACTTAGGAGGCTGAGGTGGGAGGATTGCTTGAACTTGGAAAGTTGAGACTGCAGTGATGCTGTACTTGTGTCACTGCACTCTAGCCTGGGCAACAGAGCAATACACTGTTTCAAAAAAGAAAAAGAAAAGAAATACTACCCCAAGACATTGCTTAAAATTAGTAACAAAAAGAAACATGTTAAAAGAAGCCAGTCAAAAAATACCATGATATACACAGAAAAAAAAAATAGGGATGAAAATAGATTTCTTACTGGGAACAACGCAAACTGCAAAACAAAAAAGCAGTGTCTTTAAAGTACTGATAGAAAAACAAACATAAAAGCCTTGCCAACCTAGCATTCTTACCTAGCCAAAGCATCTTTCAGAAGCAAAGGTGAAATAAAGTCTTCTGAACACAAGAAACCTGGAAGATTTTGCCACCAGTGTATCTGCTTTATAAGAAATATTACAGGAAGCCTTTCAAGTAAAAATGGTAACTTAAGTGGGTAAATGTAAAAATTATTATTATTATTATTATTATTTTTTTTTTTTTTGGACTGAGATGGATGGCTTTATTTGTATTGTCCTACTCTGATGAGCACTGGGGGGATATGGTTATCATCCTGCTTTTGATCTACAAAAAGGGGTGAAGAACATCTGCATTTTACACTTTATTTAACATTAATAAAATGATAAATACAGTTACAGGCAAATGACAATTCAGTACACTTAGTTAGATAATAGTTTAAAATTTACATATTCACAAACTTGTAGATCCTTCACCACCATGGAATATTTTAGTCTATGTAGTCCAAGTCTTCTGGAATTCCAAAAGTTTTATCAATTTTATTTTCTTCAAACCAAAATTTTCTTTTGGCCCAAGATTTTATTGCAAATATGTTATCAGTCCATCTGTTAGCAGCTTCTTTGGCTACTTTATTTGCTTGGCCTGAGATTCCAGAACCTCCAATTTACGTTTCCTTGCATGAAGAGCTTTACTTGGAAAAGCCCAATAATAATTAGAAGTTCCGATCCTCTCACAGTCAACCATACCATCATCAACTAAGCTCTGAAGGACTTCTTTTACTGACATAGCAGTAATGCCTTTCTCTTTGGGAGCAATCTTCTCCAAGTCTTTTAATTGAAACACATCTTTTGTTTCAAAAAATATTTCCATCATGCGAGTTCTCTTTTCTTCTGCACTCAGTCCTTTTTTCTTTGACATGGCGCGGGCGCCGGGGATTCCGCTGGCTGGGCCTGTAAAAATTATTATTATCACCTAAATTGACCTGGAAGATAATTCAATCAACTTGTCTTTAAAGCAAAATGATAATGCATTATGAAGTTTATGACATACATAGATGTATGACAATAAAAACACAAAAGCCTCGAGGGGATAAATAATATTGTCAGGTTTTTATGTTACTCATGAAGTGGTATAAAATCACTTGAAGGTAAGCTGTGGTAAGTTAAAGATACTATAAACACTAAAGTAACCACTAAAATACACGCGAAAAAGTTATAACTAGCAAATCAACAAAGGAGGAAAAGAGAATCATAAGGAAAACTTGATACAAAATAAGGCAGAAAAAGAGAAAAAAGGAAACAAAAATGAGAAAAATAGAAAACAAAAGGCCAGATGGTAGATGTAAAGCAGATGATGCTAATAATCACAGTAAACATAAATGATATGAACAGTATCCCTTCCAACAGACTGGGCAACATACTGAGACCTTGCCTCTCAAAAAAAAAAAAAAAAAAAAAAAAAAAAGCCAGGCGTGATGATGCGTGCCTGTAGTCCCAACTTCTTGGGAGGCTGAGGTGGGAGGTTAGCTTGAACCCAGGAGTTTGAGGATGCTGTGGGCTATGATTGCACCGCTGCATTCCAGCCTGGGTGTCAGAGTGAGACCCTCTTTTAAATCAACAAAAATTTCGAAGCATTAAACAATACAATCTACCTTTTTTTTTTTTTTAAAGAACAATTAAAGAACAGTGTCCCCTCCCAATAAAATGGAGTGATTATCAGATTGGTTAAAAAAAGACTAGTAGCTACTATATGTTGCCTGGAAGAAACCCACATTACATTTAAAAAGACAAATAGGTTTAAAGTAAAAGTATAGAAAGACATGTCATGTTAACACTAAGCAAAAGAAATCTGGAATGGTTTTATTAATAAAGAAGTATGTTTCACAGCAAAGATAATTATCAAGAATAAAGAGGATCATTTCATAATGATAAGATCAGTTTATCAAGAAGAAACAGCATATTTACGCACCTAATAAGAGAGCTTCACAATACACAAAGCAAATCTAATAGAACTGCAAGGAGAAATAAGCATGCTCACAACTGTGGTTGGAGATTTTAATATGCTTGTCTCGAAAATTGATAAGTAGACAGAAAATCAGTAATCATTTAGAAGTATTAAACAACACTATCTACTAATATAACCTAATTAACAATTATAAGCTACTTTTCCCAAGGATATCAGAATATACATTCCTTTTTAAGTGTACATGGAACATTGACCAAGATTGATTGTATTTTACTCCATTGAACAAAGTTCAAAAAGATTAGATACATTAAGTTATAGAAAGTATAGTCTTTGATTGCAGTGAAAATAATTTGAAATCAATAACAGAATGTTATCTATACATTGGTATAGTATAGGAAGTTAAGAAAAAATAAATTTAAAATGTTATAAAAATCTTCCAATATTTGGAAACTATAAAACAGCCTTCTAAACACATGGGCCAAAGAAGAATAAAAGATGAAATCAGAAAGTATTTTGAACAGAAGGAATATGAAAATACAACAATATTTGTAAAATATTTGTAAAATACATCAATATTTGTAAAAAGAAACTAAAGTATGTTGAGAGAATTTTATTTTTATTTGTTTATTTTTTTTGAGGTGGTGTTTCTTGTTGCCCAGGCTGGAGTGCAATGGCATGATCTCGGCTCACTGCAACCTTCGCCTCCTGGATTCAAGCGATTCTTCTGCCTCAGCCTCCTGAGTAGCTGGGATTACAGGCATGCACCACCACACCCGACTAATTTTGTATTTTTATCGGGTTTCTCCCTGTTGGTTCGGTTGGTCTTGAACTCCCGACCTCAGGTGATCCGCCCACCTCAGCCTCTCAAAGTGCTGGCATTACAGGCGTGAGCCACCATGCCCGGCCTGTTGAGGGAGTTTTTATAGGACTAAATGCCTACAAAGGAAAATGAAAACAAGGACTGACCAAGTCACTTTAAGAAACTAGTAAAAGAAGAGCAAATAAAACCCAAGGTGGCCTGGCGTGGTGGCTCACTCGTGTAATCCCAGCACTTTGGGAGGCTGAGACAGGCGGATCATGAGGTCAGGAGATCAAGACTGTCCTGGGTAACACGGTGAAACCCTGTCTCTGCTAAAAATATAAAAAACAAAAAACAAAAACCAAAAAAATTAGCCGGGCGTGGTGGTGGGTGCCTGTAGTCCCAGCTACTGTGGAGGCTGAGGCAGGAGGGGCGTGAACCTGGGAGGTGGAGGTTGCAGTGAGCCAAGATCATGCCACTGCACTCCAGCCTGGGAGACAGGGCGAGACTCCGTCTCAAAAAAAAAAAAAAAAAAAAACCAGGTAAGCAGTAGAAAGGAAATAATAAAAATTAGACTAAATGTCAATAAAGTAAGAAAGTAGAAGGAACAATAACGGAAATCAAGACTACTACTATAAGCTGGTATTTTAAGAAGATTAATGAAATAAACAAACTTCTAGCCAAACCGATCAGGAAAAAAAGAGAGAACACTCAAAATCATCAGTGTCAATAAATCAGAGAAGTTAAAGCATTACAGACATTACAGGTATTACTACAGATATTACAGGAATAACAAGGGAATATTATGAACACCTTTATGACTATAAACTTGACAACTTAGATGAAATGGGCGAATCCTTTGACAGACACAAACTGTAAGAGTTAATTCAAGAAGAAATAAATAACCTGAATAAGCCCACATCTCTAAATAAAATTTAATTTGTAGGAAAAACCTTTTCAGAAAAAACACTCAAAGCCTGAATGAATTCACTGTAGAGTTCTATCAAGCACTTAAGGAAGAAATAGAACTCCTCACCCCAAATCAACAGAATATACATTCTTCTCAGCACCACTTCGCACTTATTCCAAAATTGACCACTTAGTTGGAAGTAAAGCACTCCTCAGCAAATGTAAAAGAACAGAAATTATAACAAACTGTCTCTCAGACCACAGTGCATCAAACTAGAACTCAGAATTAAGAAACTCATGCAAAACCGCTCAACTACGTGGAATCTAAACAACCTGCTCCTGAAATGACTACTGGGTACATAAAGAAATGAAGGCAGAAATAAAGATGTTCTTTGAAACCAATGAGAACAAAAACACAACATAGCAGAATCTCTGGGACACATTTAAAGCAGTGTGTAGAGGGAAATTTATAGCACTAAATGCCCACAAAAGAAAGCAGGAAAGATCTAAAATTGACATGCTAACATCACAATTAAAAGAACTAGAGAAGCAAGAGCAAACACATTCAAAAGCTAGCAGAAGGCAAGAAATAATTAAGATTAGAGCACAACTGAAGGAGATAGAGACACAAAATACCCTTCAAAAAATCAATGAATCCAGGAGCTGGTTTTTTGAAAAGATCAACAAAATTGATAAACTGCTAGCAAGACTAATACAGAAGAAAAGGGAGAAGAATCAAGAAGACACAATAAAAAATGATAAAGGGGATATCACCACTGATCCCACAGAAGTACAACCTAGCTATAAACACCTCTACACAAATAAACTACAAAATCTAGAAGAAATGGATAAATTCCTGGACACATATACCCTCCCAAGAGTAAACCAGGAAGAAGGTGAATCCCTGAATAGATGAATAACAGGCTCTGAAATTGAGACAATAATTAATAGCCTACCAACCAAAAAAAAGTCCAGGACCAGACAGATTCACAGCGAAATTCTACCAGAGGTACAAAGAGGAACTGGTACCATTCCTTCTGAAATTATTCCAATCAATAGAAAAAGAGGGAATCCTCCCTAACTCATTTTATGAGGCCAGCATCATCCTGATACCAAAGCCTGGCAGAGACACAACAAAAAAAGAGAATTTTAGACCAATATCCCTGATGAACATCGATGTAAAAATCGTCAATAAAATACTGGCAAACCGAATCCAGCAGCACATCAAAAAACTTACCCACCATGATCAAGTGGGCTTCATCCCTGGGATGCAAGGCGGTTCAACAGACGCAAATTAATAAATGTAACCCATCATATAAACAGAACCAAAGACAAAAAAAACCATGATTATCTCAATAGATGCAGAAAAGTCCTTTGACAAAATTCAATAGCCCTTCATGCTAAAAACCCTAATAAACTAGGTATTGATGGGACGTATCTCAAAATAATAAGAGCTATTTATGACAGACCCACAGCCAATATCATACTGAATGGGCAAAAACTGGAAGCATTCACTTTGAAAACTGCCACAACACAGGGATGCCCTCTCTCACCACTCGTATTCAACACAGTGTTGGAAGTTCTGGCCAGGGCAATCAGGCAGGAGAAAGAAATAAAGGGTATTCAATTAGGAATAGAAGAAGTCAAATTGTCCCTGTTTGCAGATGACATGATTGTATATTTAGAAAACCCCATCATCTCAGCCCAAAATCTCCTTAAGCTGATAAGCAACTTCAGCAAAGTCTCAGGATACAAAATCAATGTGCAAAAATCACAAGCATTCTTATACACCAATAACAGACAGAGAGCCAAATCATGAGTGAAGTCCCATTCACAATTGCTTCAAAGAGAATAAAATACCTAGGAATCTGACTTACAAGGGATGTGAAGGACCTCTTCAAGGAGAACTACAAACCACTACTCAATGAAATAAAAGAGGACACAAACAAATGGAAGAACATTCCATACTCATGGATAGGAAGAATCAATATTGTGAAAATGGCCATGCTGCCCAAGGTAATTTATAGATTCAGTGCCATCCCCATTAAGCTACCAATGACTTTGTTCACAGAATTGGAAAAAACTACTTTAAAGTTCATATGGAACCAAAAAAGAGCTCGCATTGCCAAGTCAATCCTAAGCCAAAAGAATAAAGCTGGAGGCATTACACTACCTGACTTAAAGGTAGTGTAACAAGGCTACAGTAACCAAAACAGCATGGTACTGGTACCAAAACAGAGATATAGACCAATGGAACAGAACAGAGCCCTGAAA